CTAAGGCTTCTAATCAGTTAAAAAAAAAAGCAGGATGTTCATTCATGTGTAGATGTGCACTCTACTTATGTGAAAGAAAAAAGGATTTGTCAGGTATTATTCCATAATTATTTTTGTTGCCAGATGACAGAAATACAGGGGCATTTTTCTTAAGCACTAGGAACTCTGCACTAGGTTTCAGAGGAATGGAATTAGATTTGTTCTCTGGTTGTCATTCAATTCCAGACATAATAGTCTTGTACTTACTGTATATTATAATTCTGTAGAGTAAGAGTATGACTTGATTATGACCTTGGGTCTGCAGTAAAGCCAAGAAAAATTATGCCAAATATTTTTGTGTTAGATGAGAGTCACTGACTGGTAGTAGTGAAAAGAATAGATAAGACCATTTGATTTTAGTTTTGCTTGCCTTTCAATTTATGTTGCATGATACTTGGGTTCACTTGGATGAACTGCTAGAAAAAGTGGTGCTGAGTCATCAGAATATCAGAGAAAAAGCTTGGATTCCTAGGGCCTGGTTTTGATTATTTTCCGGATTCCTTGAAGTAAAGAATAGCCAAGTATTGTTAATTTTCTTCCCTCTAAAAATATAATAGCCTTAATATAAAACATGGGAAGACTAATGAAGACAGACAGCCTGGATTCAGGAGTACAACAAAACTCCTGTGCTTATTACAACGGGGCTGTAAGTATTCATAAGAAGTCTGTAGTCTGTATGCTATCTCCTCCCTTTATTTTCTGTTATCTCCCCTGAACATTAATAGCTTCTCAGGCAGCCACATGGATCTTGACTGCTACACATGGGACTGCATGTTTGGAAGACCGTGGCATGAAAGGTGGTGAGGATGGCCTTGAGGGAAGCTTTTGAGATTCTTTAGACACCACAGACACAGCCACTGCTGCAATACTGGTCAGTGAGGTAGGAAAGAGTTCCATAAGCAGGCTGCTAGTGTGTTGTTGTTATTTTTTTTTTTTTTTTCCCTAGATACCACAAATTTATGATTAAGTAGTATTTTCAGTAATATATTAATTATTGAAACACGTTTGTTTATTGAAGCTAAATTATTTCATGGCTATGCCCAGCAGGGTGACTAAAGCTTGAAGTTGTGTAGACAATTCTGACCAGTGAAGAAGAGACTAATAAAACCTTCACTTTCCCAACTTGCAGTCAAATGTTTTAGCCTTTATATACCTTTAATCAAAATTTATTAAAGGAGCTGTTCAGTTCCAGTGTTGAACAAAAGCATATTTGAAATTTTTATCCAGTACATGAAGACAGAATTGTTCTTCCCCAGCTAGCATTAGTCATGCCAAAAGGGAATTTAAATAAGGCAGGTTTGAAAAAAGACAGTGAGATAAAAATGTTGATTAGAAACTCTTCTTAAGATATGAAAGGGAACATTTCCATTGATAACAGGAACTCAGGCCACTAAGCCAAATTTTAAGACAGGGCCACCTAAAACTTATGCATATGTTCTCATCTATTTCAGTGTGGTTTTCTCAACTTTATTATATTATTCCCTAAATCCTAATGGGATTTAATATCCTGGCTGCATTAAGACAGGAAATGTCCTAGACACTTGGAAGACATGGCTTGTGCTCCAAGGAGGATATAGTGAGAAATAATAGAAATCAAGTGTACAGAGTAAGGAAATAGAAACAAAAAGGACCAAGATGATGATGGGCAGGTGTGTTATTATTGAGGCATTTTCTTGTTGGTTTATTTAATTTTAAGTTAATCATGACAAGATTCCCTTACCCTCATCCTCTCTTCCTAGATTGTTATTTAGAACCTTCTGGCTTCACAATAGGCAAAGTCAATGTGACCTATAGTTTATGAGTCAATTCCCAAGTTTTACAGTCATGAAAGCTAAAGAATGCCCTTAATTCCTCCACTTCCAGAATTCTACTTCTGCAAATGAACAGTTCGTTTGCAGAGAGACACAGTTCAGTTCTTGTAAGAATATTGAAAACAGAGAGCTTGCTTTAGGAAGCCAAATGGCAGGGGTGGGGAGAAAGCTCAGTTACTCCACCTGCCTTCACTTTTTGGCAAATTGCTAAAGAACAAACTGGTTCAGCTTTTCCAGCCTTCTGGAATTTGCAGAGGATGTTTTCCTTTACAGATTTTCTTTTTAAAATCAAGCAGGTTGTTCAAATCTTCAATCTTTTTAATGTCTGTGGGGAACAGATTTCTAACACAGGAAGACAACTCACTTTTGCATTAGGGTCCCTGAGATTTGCTGAAAAATGCTGCAACTATGAGCACTACTATGAGTTATTATTAAACAGTTGTGAAAGACTACTGAGGTAAAGCTTTTCCCAAAAAAATTATCTAAACACATTCAGCTGTACCTTTACTTGCTTATTCCTTTCTGCTGTCACAACAGTCAACCCTGAAGTCAGAAATACCTAATTAAATTTGTCCTTGTGCTCTTGCGTAATACAATCACCAGTAGTTACCAACGCATATTTTCTGCACTGATTTTTATAGTATCAGTTTATTAAGGACTGATAGCTGGAGATTAGGTTACTGACATCAATAAAAAGACTGTCTTTCTCACCATCATAGGGGGAGAAAACAGTAGGAAAGTTTTAACAGATTTCTAAGGGCAAAATCCATGTAACGATAAAAAGGAGATAACTCCAGAGTGTCAGCTTCCAAAGTGCTGATATGCTTAAGTGACTGTCCAGTCAAAGCTCTTTTACTTGTAATATCTAATGAGAAGTGCTGTGTGTTTGACCCAATTTTCTGGAATCATTACTGAAATCTTTTGTTCGGGTGCCACATTTACCTAGGTGAGAGGTACTCTGGGCAGAGTCCTAGAATAAGGTGAATGCATAAATCAGTTTTAATATGACATTCCCTTCTTAGGAGATTTGCAGCAAACCAGGAGCTGCAGCTGACTGTGGCTTTACATCTTCAGCTAGGCTTTCTGTCATACCCAGGAGTCAAATAAAACCTAATCAGCAATCAGACTCAGAATTGAAAGAGAGCTCAGTGCAGGGTATTGGCCCTGTTAGGAGGTACAGACTGTCTCTCTCTGTTGACGGAAAGGGAGTGAGAAAACCACTATTATTACTCTGTGTGGTCCCAAGCATCTCAGAAGAGGTTCTGCATGTCCTTTCTTATTTTAAAAAGACAGTGTCATGACAGATCAGAGCAGTATGATCTAGATGGGAGCCAGGCCATATTAAAGGCAGATAAACTGTCACACTTAGGCTCATGATAGAATGTAATCCTGTTAGAGTTTCTCTATAATATCACGTCATCTTACATAATTGAAAAGAAACCACTCAACTGAAATATGCCTGCAAGAAAGAAAACCTTGAACAGTGGGGTAGCTAATCTTACTGTTATACACAGCACACAGTATAGGCTGCATTACAGTATACGTACATTTACCATTTGAATTCATAGTGATAAGATACAGGACTTTTCAGGGTCTCATTTATTATCTCCAACTATTCTAGCCTTGAGGCTGATACCCGATGATACTCCAAATAAATATAGTAATCTACAAGTGAAAGGTTGCAGGGTTATAAAAGTTTGACTCTTAAAGAGTCTTTAAGACTGACACTGTCAGTCCATGGGGTTCCCAAAAGCAGAATTTGGGACATGTTATAAACTGCACAGCTGTAGCAGAAGAACAAGCTTTCATATACTTCTGAATTATATTTCTTTCTGAATTGTCTGGATGGTGCTTAAACTACTTAAACAAAGGAAAAAAGATTTTTAGACATGATTTCTGTTCACCAAAATTCTGATTTCCTGAAATCCCAGCCAATGAGTTTTGATCTGGGTAAACAAAATCTGGAAAAATACTGTGCTTATGTAACTTCAGTTCAGGACTATGAGATTTACACATGCTTGGTACTTGCAAGGTTTATATCCTTCATTAGGTTCAAGTATGTAAAATGCAACAATTTTTTTCAGTCATTGGAAACAATATATAACAAGACAAAATAACAACATACAATACAGTATCTTTCATTGAATGTGTTAGAGTTGAATTGTTTGGTTATAGATCTGAATAATAAATAGTAGCTGGGAGCATAAAAGTTAAAAAGTACACTTAAAAGCTGAAAATGTACATTAAAGAACTCATCTATCCTAAAGTTAGCAAATTTGTTTATGTAGCCATTCACAGACAAATGTATAGCAGAATTAAAAGTATCTAGCCTTTATGGATTCAAGAAAGTGCTCTCCTGCAAAACTGCTGCAGTTTGAGCTGATATCCTAAAACAATAACTTAGCAGATGTGAGCCTGTTTCATTTAGTGGAAAGCTAATTCTGAAGTCTGTTGACAGCACAGTTCACATCAGAAACAATATCAAGAAGATAGTTTTAGTAAATACATGCCTTACAGCAGGATATCTTGTATTTGTGGATTACCATAGTTATTTAAAATACTCTTCTCATAAGTAGCTAATTCACTGTAGTGAGGTGCAATAATCTGGCAGTGTGCATTAAGTTGGAGAATATACATAATGTCATTACAGAAATAGAAGCAGAACATTCCGGAGTCTAGTAGGAAATGAAAGAAACATAGAGTGTGATTAAATAATACGGCCCAGAGTCTACTCTGTCAAGCATCAGTGAATAGCATTCATTGAAGTCATTGATTCTGCAAAAGAAAAAAAGTACCTAAGCAAAAATTTCTAGTTAAATGGTTTAGTTTTAGATTTGTAAATGTTTTAGTTTTAGGATTTGAAATAGACTGTGAGAGGACAAAGACTGGAGGTACAATATGCAAACACAAGTGATAGGCCTAGCTTTCACTGAAGTCACTGGAAATCCTTCAATCACTGCGATGACTTTGCATTTAATCTATTTCAAGACTATTTAATGTTAATATTAAGCTAATGTTTAATATTAATGCCTTTTTTTTTTCCAGAAAACCATAAAGAGCACAGCCTTAGAATAGTCCTCCAATGGCCTTGATCTTCCCTATTAAACATTTCATGCTATTCAGCTTTTTATTTTCTCTTCTCTTTTACAGGCAGGCCAGATCTGGCAGATAGCTGATATGAGGACTTTGCTGACTTCAGAAAGCTGCGTATAACACCAACAGACTTCAGTGAAAGGAAATATTATCCCTCCAAGCAACTCATACACAGACAACTTTTGGTAGCTTTAAATTAACCTGTTGCTTACCTGCAAAGACAAGGCTATTGTTTCTTTCAGCACACATGGAGGAAGGCAACAAACTTTGTAACCCTGGCTAATAAGACTGTGGCTTTCTTGTCAAAAGTAGGAGGTAGGACAATTATAAAAGGATTATTTTATACTTTAGCCTCCAGGACTTTAATTCTGGCCTGAACACTGGACATAAATAGAAGCCAATTTTAATGACCTGAGATTTTGCTACCTGTGCTTTATTATTGTTATCAGTTCTTTAACACTTTGGTACTTTATTTCTACAAATCAGAAATGGGTTTGTGGACAAGAATGTGGCCCACAGATTGGGCTGTTCTCGTGAAATCATGGCTTATCTTTTCCCTGGGGCTCTACATGCAGGTCTCCAAAACATTGGCCTGCCCAAAAGTGTGCCGCTGTGATCGAAACTTTGTCTACTGTAATGAGAGAAGCTTGACCTCAGTGCCTCTTGGGATACCAGAGGGTGTAACCGTCCTCTACCTCCATAATAACCAAATTAATAATGCTGGATTTCCTGCAGAGTTGCACAATGTCCAGTCTGTGCACACAGTCTACCTGTATGGCAACCAATTGGATGAATTCCCCATGAACCTGCCCAAGAATGTCAGGGTTCTCCACCTGCAGGAAAACAACATTCAAACCATTTCTCGGGCTGCTCTTGCTCAACTTCTGAAGCTGGAAGAGCTGCACCTGGATGACAACTCCATCTCCACTGTTGGCGTTGAGGATGGGGCATTCCGGGAAGCCATCAGCCTCAAGCTTCTGTTCTTGTCCAAGAATCACTTAAGCAGCGTACCAGTAGGCCTTCCGGTGGACTTACAAGAACTTCGAGTAGACGAAAACCGAATTGCTGTCATTTCAGACCTGGCCTTCCAGAATCTTACAAGTCTGGAGCGTCTGATTGTAGATGGCAATCTCCTTACTAATAAAGGCATAGCTGAAGGCACCTTCAGCCACCTCTCCAAGCTCAAGGAATTCTCAATAGTGCGGAATTCACTGACCTACCCTCCTCCTGATCTTCCAGGTACACATCTACTAAGGCTCTACTTGCAGGACAACCAGATAACCCATATACCACTTACAGCCTTTTCGAACCTCCACAGACTGGAACGTCTTGATATTTCCAACAATCAACTTCGGATGTTGGTAAAGGGGGTATTTGATAATCTCCACAACCTGAGGCAACTCACTGTAAGGAATAATCCTTGGTTGTGTGACTGCAGTATTAAGTGGGTCACTGAATGGCTCAAATTTATTCCTGCTTCCATCAATGTACGTGGGTTTATGTGCCAGGGACCAGAGCAGGTCCGAGGTATGGCAGTCAGGGAGCTCAATATGAATATGTTGTCATGCCCCACCACCACCCCTGGTCTGCCACTTATCATCACCCCAGTCCCAGCTACAGCCATGCCAACTACGTTAGTTCCCACCTCACCAGTTCCTCCCCCAAGTAGCAAATACAATCCTCTCACTCCCACCATAGCCACACTCCCCACTGTGCCTGACAGGGAGGACAGAGAAAGGGTAACACCTCCTATATCTGAACGGATTCAACTCTCCATCCATTTTGTCAATGACACTTGCATCCAAGTTAACTGGATGTCTCTTTTTACCGTGATGGCATATAAACTCACTTGGGTTAAAATGGGCCATAGTCTGGTAGGAGGAATTGTTCAGGAACGGATAGTTAGTGGTGAGAAGCAACACTTAAGTTTGGTAAATCTGGAGCCCAAATCCACCTATCGGATTTGTTTGGTTCCACTGGATACTTATAACAATTACCGAACTGGAGAAGACACTGTCTGTTCAGAAGCCACAACCAAGGCTTCCTTTCTGAGCAATGGCAGCAACATCCCATCCAGCCATGAGCAGACAACTTCTCAGAACCTGGGCTCCCCATTTCTGCTGGCAGGGTTGATTGGGGGTGCAGTGATATTTGTCCTCGTGGTCCTGCTCAGCATTTTTTGTTGGCACATGCACAAAAAAGGGCGTTACACCTCCCAGAAGTGGAAATATAACCGCGGCCGTCGGAAAGATGACTACTGCGAGGCAGGGACCAAGAAGGACAACTCCATCCTGGAGATGACGGAAACCAGCTTCCAGATTGTCTCCTTAAATAATGATCAGCTCCTTAAAGGAGATTTCAGACTGCAGCCCATTTATACCCCAAACGGGGGCATTAACTACACAGACTGCCACATCCCCAATAACATGCGATACTGCAACAGCAACGTCTCAGACCTGGAGCACTGTCATACGTGATAGTGAGGGGAGATGGGGGTGTCTAGGACAAAGAGAAGAAACTCTGGAAAAAATAACCCCCCAACAACAATGAAAAAATTACATTTGATAAATGTTACACAGATGCATTTATGCATTTGAATACTCTGTAATTTATACGGTGTACTATATAATGGGATTTAAAAAAAGTGCTATCTTTTCTATTTCAAGTTAATTGCAAATGGTTTTGTAACTCTTTGCTTTTTAAATCTTTAAAAAATATTGCTAAGTACTGTACAGGGTTGTACAATGAGAACCCGATGTCATGGCAAAGGAAAGAATGACTCATTTTTCAAACATTAACCACTTTGCTGTCAAAGCTGTCTGAGGGATGTTAAGTTTCTAGATGTCCTGTAGTACAGGAAAATAAGTGCATATTAAAACAGGATCACTAGGAACAGACAAAAGCAATTCAGATAAAATGGGTACAACCCTTCTGACTTGAACCCAGCAGTTGCTGTTGAGCTTCAAACAATTGGAAAATCTTCTGTTGCCCTTTCAGTTCTGCATTTCCTACCTCCAACTGAAAGCTGGAGTTCTGAGTGCTACAAAAAAGGTTACCTGCTTGTTTGATTAGTTTTCTCCCAATATACTTGGAATAGGAAAGGTAGACAAAGCTCAGTGTCAAACTCAAAGTGGCCTTGATTCCTATTTGCAAAAGGTACTCTGAAAATGTCCCCCAATACTATATACTTTTATGATAGAAACTCTTTCTGCTTTTCATTATGAATAAGAAGCTTTAGGCATTCTCTGACCCTTCTCAGTGGGAGATGAAGGTTATCAGTATGTAACAGATAGCTGTCATTAAGTTGCACCTCTCTTTATTAGAGCAGCATTTGTTGACACAGCATGTCCAGGTAAAGACTGAATGAGGGGAGTTCTGAGTGCTCCCAGCTCTGCAGTATTCATGTAGAATTTGGAATCTAAAAGTGTAAATTGCTGAAATCATGATGCAAATTATGATGCCAACGGAAAGGTTGCTATTAACTCTTACGTTTCAAGCCCTGTTTGATTTAGGGGTCTGAGTTATGTTCAGTATGGAGAAGTAAGAAAAAAGGCAAACGGAGAAAACAAATAAGAAAGGTCTTTTAAAAATCTATTTATTATTGGGAAGGCCTTCAGGCCTATTATGAACTGAAATATGTTCAGCGGGGAGAATCATATACAAATCCTGGTTGGGGTGTTGTTTTTTTTTTTTTTTTTTCCCCTTTCAAGTCTACAGAGATGGACATTAACTAAGCATTTGATTAGCTGAGGAATTTTGAGAACACAAGTACACACTGTCCCTCTGAACTACCCTTCTTTTATCTTGAGCTTTTGGAAGCTTTCCACAATGATCTGTGCTTTATAAGCAGTAGGTGGGCTTAGAATTTGCTTTTTTATTCCCTCAAATTCTTTAGCTGGAATATCTTCTGAGTCCTTGAGCTTCATGTGCACTATGCGAAACATCATGCTTGTATTAAATCTGTGATGCTGCTCTCAAATTTATATAATGTTCCAGCCACTCCATTGACTCTGTGACTGCCAAGAACTCTGGGTTTCTTGCCAGCTCAGTGGTGGAATCCAATTCTTCCTTTCTTTCAGTTTGTTTGTTTTTTAATGCGGCTCACTTTCTCCTGAGCTTGGGGACAAGCAAAAGTTCACAACAAAGAGGAAAAACAGAGAGACAAAACTTCCCTGAGGGAGTAGGGAACCAAAGAGAAAATTTTTTACAGTGACCAGCTAGGGACAAGGAGAAGATGTCGGAGGTGGATTGGAAGTAAAGGTTGAAGCACTTTCACTGTAGAATACTTGGACTTTTCACTTTATGAGGCTGTTTAGGTTGGGAGAGAGGGTTTTAATCCTTTCCTTTGCTCATTTCACTCAACTCATTCTTGAAACCCAGCAGTCTTTGAATGTGCAGTTTCTGAAATTCCAATCACATAATAGCACTTGTCTTCTGCAATGGCAAAATGAATCCAGTTATGATTGATGGCAAAGTACAATCATTGTATAAGGAACCACATCTCACCTCAATGCCTTTTATAATCACATTTTGAAATTCCACTCTATATTCTGTATATTTTCTCCAGCTAAAACAGGTATTTTAGGCAACCTGTGTGGCTACTATAATAGTAAAGTCACTGAAATTTTGCTGAATAAAAGGCTGCCATATGATTTCAAATGGTGTAATTCTAGGTAGAAACATCTATGCAAAGTGTTTTTTCTGTGACCTATTCACTGAAGATTATGGTGAAAAGGTTTATATTTTGCTTGTTTAATATGTTTTAGGTGCCAAAGCCCACAAGACAAGCAGCAAATAGTTGTGCTTCTGCACAATCCCTTTGCATGCTGGAGTTTGTCTGAAATTAAGTAGAACCTGAGATTCCCTTTGGGTGTGGATGTAGTATTTAATTTCACAGAAATAACTATCTATATGTCTGATTTCAAAAGGCATCCTTCAAAAGTATGCACTTACTAGAATTTTGTACTTCAGTGACTGATAATGGAGGAATATTTGTCCTCCTTGATGAACATCTCCTCTTCTAGGCCTCAGGATACCATAGTTTCAAGATGATCTAGGCACCTAATTTGTAGCAAATTACTTATTCAGGGAGTTTAGCTGTGCTGCAGGTGAATGATCCACAAGCCCAAACTGATGAAAACAGATGTGGCTACTGTCCTAGTAGGGTGAAAACAGAAGACATTCACGAACTGTTCATTTTGATCTTGGACAATGAAAGGAAATGTATATATATCTATCTGTGGACTGTTACTTGCTTACCTAGATCAAAAGTCAAAATTATAATAAAGATAGCATAGTTTATTCTTCTTTTCAGTATGAATAATATATATATTGGTATGGGATACTAACAAAGTTTCTTTTCTATTAATACTCTCCCCCAAAAAATCAGGAAGCCACTTATACCAAAATTTGTTCATAGGGCTGGAGTATTATCTAAAAAAATTCACAGTTATAGTCAACTGAAATGTCATATGTTTCATTTGAAGAATGTTTCTCCCAATTCTAATTGCTATCCAGCTGTGAAAGAGTTAATGTATTTCAACCTACAGCAGAGTCTGGAACTTTTCAAAGTGCCGGTCACACAAACATCTGAGACTTCATTCCAGGTCACATCTAGATAAATACATAGTAGGCAATTTTCTCTAGGTATTTAGAAAAAGTCAGAATTAAAAATGGGCAATGATCTTTTGGCTATGTAAAGTTTAAGATTACTGTTTCCTTGGACTTCGTAAAAATGGGGTCATCTTCAATTAGTGCAAATATCTGCCCACAGATACTAACTAAAGGCTGTAGAGCAGAAGCCCCAAATGTGTCTATATGCAACTCATCCAAAATGTTTACTTCCAGGTCCGTCCTTTAACAGGTTAATTGGACCTGGGGGCAAATGAGTGGTTTACAGACAAAATCTCACTCATCTTCCATTGTATACTGCTAAGAGCTGACATAGACAGAAAAGATTGAGGAGTGGAATAAAATAAAAGTTTAAGTGAAATTATATTAAAGGAGTACCACAACACTGTTGTGCCCAGTGCTTAGATTCCTTCTGAAGACTTTATTTACAAACAGGTCCTCATTTTCACAGATTCTGTCATTGTAACAAGTGTTCCTTGCATGTAGCTTGCTGGCAGAAACAAACATCTGATGAGTGCATGGACTTTGTGTTAACAGGTTCTTATCGGATACATTATTATTGAATTTCTTCATAAGAATATTTAGAGATTGGGTTACTTTGGACTGCAAAGATATTGGCAGTTTCCCCTGTAAGTTAATAAAGGACTACAATGAATGTCACGTAATACAGAAAAATGAAGTAGCATATGCTATTTGCTACTAGAGTAATTTAACTGTATTTTTCTCACAGTCATTTTTTCTTTTTATGAGAGAGAATTTCTCCCCCTAAGAAATGTATTGATTTTAATTTTACAAGCAAAAAAAACCCCTTTACGTTGTTATGGTCCATATAAGGCACTTTATTAATGACATTGTAGTGAAAGTTCAGTCTCAGCTTTTGACAGTGAAGTGGTTAATTTCCATTGAATTCTCCATTTATAGTACTTCTTCACCTTAAATTTAACATGGAGATATTAAAGTTTTTTCTTTAGAAGATGAGAATAATGGGTTTACTCATGACTTATCTTTCCAGCTCAGTGGAAAAACAAAACAGAAATGAGTGCCAAAACCAAAAGTTACTGGCTCTGAGCCTCATCAAATCCTGCCTGATGCTCTCTTCTAAACACAGAGATAATCCTAGGAAGCTGACGATCACTCCTTCCCTGAACTCTCCTGAACAGGGCACTTTGTATCTCAGATGATACTACAGGCAATATTGAAGCATTTGGCATTAAACTTTTGTACAGCAGAGAATGTCTTGCTCTTTGAAAGGACGCTGGCTAGTAGTCCATCTGGAAAACTAGTACAAATGAGATTTGGCAAGCTTTTATTATACTGGGGCTCTGTGGAAATGTGCCTCATGAGAGCTGAATTCTGATCGTCTCAGAAACAGATAAGCTACTAAACAAATTGTTATCATCACTTGGTCCCAAATATCTGAAGATGAGCTTACATAAAATTGATTTTAACTAAGACATGCACACTTGATTCTGTTCTGTGTTTGGTATACTTTCTATCTTTAACATGGAAAAATAGATGGTTTGAAGTCTGCATTATCTGTTTTCTGCAATCTGCCATGTTGCACGCATTGTTAACTTCAAAACCTCACTATACACTATATATTATCTTGTTAACATATTCAGTAAAGAGTTATTTAAAAAAATACAACAATCCTGCTGTATTTATATGAGCAAGTTAATTAAAATAAGGATGTGATTATCTGAAAGGGAAAACAGAAAAACAAAAATACCAATCTTCCGTTCTTTCATTCCTGGAAATATTTTCAAATGTTCTACTGTATGTCCACCCTCTCTTCAGATTCTAAAAGACAAATATTTTCATCTTCTGTCTCTCAAAGGGTTAAACCATTTGTTATTTCAATTTCTCAGATTTAATCTTACCTTTAAAAGATTATCTCATTCTAATATGCATATAGGAAAGCACTGTAAAACAAGAACAGATTGTATTCCAGTGTTTGCAATTAATAGGTACATTTAAGCAGCTACACACGTCTGTAACAAATATATATATGTGAAAGCTGTGACCAATTATATGCATAGTCATTTGATAAATGCATTTGACATTCATCCTTGACAATCTTAAACCTGCCTTTTGCCTGTTATTATCTATTTAATCTGTTTCCTTGAAGTGAAATGTGATTTTTTTCCAATTCTTCCTTCAAAATTGTTCTTGAATTTTCAGAATGCACAACATTCAGACATAGGCCTTAATAAATTTTTGTATATCTTATACCAAACATATATGTTAGTATATACAATATATATAAAGAGATGCGTTAGCTACTTGGAAATTAAAATTACCCCTCCTCTAGTTACATATACAAGAACTAATTTTTGGCTTTGCTAGAACCTGAAATATTGAATGTTACAAGCTGTGTCACTTCAAAGCTTAGAAATATAATATTGCTGAGTGTCACAATTCCTCTATAAATTATCTTATTCTCTGTCTTAACTCTGAATATCAAGTAAAACTACTAAGAGCTGCAGTGCAATACATCCACATCTAGGTCACCCCCTTAATATGCTTCCCTGAACTTGATGTTTCTTCTGAGCCAGATTAGACACTGGTAACTAAACCTTATAGGAGGAAGTTGGACAATAGAAGCAAAGTAAATGATAAATACTTGTGATCATTTATGTACTTTTTGCAAAAGTAATGGCTTCATCATTTTCAATTGACGATTTTGTTTTCTCAAAAAAAAAAGGGTTGTCAAACACTGACTACTTCATCAGATAGTATTTTAATAACTTAAAATTATTTATATTAGTAGAGATCAATCTTTATATTTACTTTTTATAGTTCTAAGCTCAGTTATCTGGAGCTGTTCACACACATGTGTGTGTATGTATAATTTCCTGAGATTGTGTATTATTAGCTACAGGGAACATCCAAAGCAAGCAAACGGAGTAATATTTTTCATTATTGTTCAGTCAACATTTTTAAATATTTCACTTTAAAAACAGTTTTTCTATCTAATAAGACTTATGGTGCCACATGGAGAAACTACATTTGGTCATTAAAGTGTGAAACAAATGCTTCAATTCTACTAGTAGTGCCACTGTCAGTGAAGGCTCAAACTAAAAGTCACTAGAATACTCCTATTACACAGATAGAGACTTGGTGAATTTTTTAACTATAATTTGAATTCTTAAAACAAATCAGTACAGTTTTATGGTGAAATCCTGACCCCACTGCCTTCAATTATAAATCAGAATATTTATAGGAATAACATATATATCAGAAGGATTATTAAAAACATCCAGTTTGACACATTACATAATATGCCACTCTACTTATCCCCAACTGAAATATATCAGCTGAATAAGCAGTAGGCCTATGTATCTCTTTTTGAAAAGCTAGGGAAGCAATGAAATAGACTTTATAGAAAATGCGAGGAGATATATGTACTGAGATACACTGTTCAATGTGAAGCCACACAAGATATGGACATTTAAAGACACAAACACATCACTGAACATAGCAAGAATTTTCTTTTACTCATAAACACACACATTTTCTGCTTACAACTTTGTATTATGGCTAACATACGTGACTGCAAAAATGCATGTCTGCATATTAAGAGTTTATAGTATAGTTACACTTCAGTGGGGACATCTTATACAGAATAAGAAGAATCTTGACTCTGTGCACTGGGTCTATTATTTACCTTTCTCTGTATAAAAAGGATTCATATACAGAAGGAAGTAACAAAAAACCAAAAGTCATGCTGATTACACTATCCTGTTTTTCTAAATGTAGAACACCTTGAAGAATGAAGACAGTGTATAAAGGATTTTGGAAAATCTAACTCAAATACACGTGTGTGTTTACAACTTCCACATGCTCTGTGCAAAAGCGAGAAGTGTCTCTGAGGCATACTAGTCAGAGAGCTAAGCTGAACATGACCATTCGTGAAAAGCACAATTGTCAGAAAGATTCTGTTAAAATGCTGTATTTCTTGAGTGAAAGCAATATTTCCACTTCTATAGACTTTGAGCAGGTGATCACACAGGTAAATAAAATTATTTGTCATGAGGATTGGAACAATGTGTCTAAAGATGGAATGCTATAATTTTCATACTTTGAAACTGCCTGTTTGTGATGAAGAAAATGCAGATTTTTGTTCTGTGAAGTTGAAATATAGCAATAATGATGGACAGAATACAAAGATGCTCCTTTATACTGACATTTTATGGACATGAAGAAGGACACATGCATATGCTCTATAAATATACATTTATGACATCGTTTTAAATTTCCTTTACAATTTTCAGACTCTTTAGATGAGATCCACTTTTAACACATGATCAATAATCCAAACCATTTAAATCCTCAGAAACAACTGCAATGTTTTTCAATTAATAGAATCAAGAACGTGTGATAAAATGATTATTTACAGAAAGTGCATAGTACTTTCTTGAAGCTTTAGCTGTGGTAAAAAAAAAAAAAAAAAAAAAAAGAAGAAGAAAAAAACCCCACAACTATTAAACTGGAAGTTTTGTATTCCTATTTAGATGGTAAGTTCTTCCAAATTGTAACACACTCACTTGAATGTCAAACTTTGGTTTGACTTGAAAGTCAAATGATTTATAAGACAGTGTTGTAAGCCTGACCTCATAAACATTCACAAACTGGTTTGTGCATTCACAGTTCAGGGACCAATAAGTAATTCATTGCTCTCTGACTTACAGCACAAATGTTAAGAATTTTTCCCTATTAAAGAAACATGTTAAGAAAATTTGAGAGTTGGTGTGAAGTCAAGTACTGCAGTATATGTTAATATGAACAATTTCATTTATTCAAGGAGGGCATTAGCATGTCTTTGTAAGTGAGGACCATAGAAGCAAGGCATGCACATTAGCTGTATGTCATTTTCAAGAAAACCCTTCTCATCAGTACAAGGCACTACTCCTAGCTGATGAAAAGCATATACGATGACTTAGGAAAATTAATAGAAATCTGAGAAAGGGGAGATATTTCAAGTTATTATAGTTATTTTAATACTATACAGTTGAGTCCTTTAAGCAATTAAAGTCTCATAAAAGTTTTGCAGCTTCTCATATTAAAGGTCTCTGTCAAGCATATATTTTATTTCTCATTCACAAGAAAATGAGTTTAGGCAGCTTTTCACATACATCTCCATCGTAGGTTATTTTTGAAGTCGGTATTTTCTTTTTTTGCTTGATTACAGTGATTAGCATCAGATTAATGGTATTCTCAGATCTAATTGGTCGTGATGTTCATTTGGAAGTCTACCCATTCACTGATCTTCTTTGTCACCTACAAAAAGTTGGAGGGATAGGCTACTTTATGTGTGATATTTCTATGCTTTTCTGCTTTGGTTTTGGCTTTCCTTTTTATAATGCAAAATTATGAACAAGTGGAAAATGAAGCAAATTTAAATTATTTTCAGCCACATTTATAACTATTGTAAGACTGTCTTTTTATCAAAAGACAAAACTTAAGAATAATGACTTAAGAAAGAAATTATCTTAAAGAATTCTGCTATCAATTTTAAGTGGAATTCATTATTTTTCAACATTTAGTTATAGTAGTCATTCTAGGAAGTTGAGCTGCGAAGACTGGACAAAATCAAATTTGTGGTTACAGGAACTTTGTTTTTAAAGGTTCAGTTTTACAGATTATTACTAGTATCTGCACAAAGAGAAGGGGACAAATGTTTCTTCTTCCTTACTCAGGTACATCAGATTCCCTTCTGTAGTGATCAAGGAAGAAGACAGCTATTTCACAGAGATCTCCCTCAAAAAACAAAGTGTCCAGAACAGAAGGAAAATATCTCAAGTCATGGCATTTTTTTTGCTGACTACAGAAGCTGGTACATGCAGAGCTGGATCATTTCATGAGGTATGAAGAAAATTGCAGCAAATTACAGGTGCTCTGCAGCATTATGTAGGACCTTCGGTTTGTACAGGACCCAATGAAGGTACCTTTACTAGGTGCATCTTCTTGGAGGTCTGTAACAAAAGGCACAACCCATGCCTATAAAAGTGGGGAAGGATCTGAGTTTTATCTTGTTTTGTGGAAATTTAATTACCATTTCTGGTAAGTCCTGGAGTTCCAGGTACACCACTGTGTTCAAGAAGGAGCGTGTAACAAGGCAAATTTGAAAGGTCATGTTTTTGATGACTTTTCTTTTATCAATGCAAATATTAATAAGGTGTTTGCAGACAAACTTCCAAACGACAGCAGATGTGATCATTGTATTAGGGGTCAGATCGGACACTCCTGCTTTCAGTTTAGATGTCTATTACTTTTCTCCATTATTCCTTATCCAAATATTGTTTTCTTAACATTTGAAACTAAGCAGTTAGTACTTCTTTGTCACAAGAGAAAAGTTTCTACAAAACCATTATACCTGCAAACTGTGATGAAGATTACCCAGCAAAGTTAAGCTACAGAAATGCTGGCAGTACAGTAAACAATTTGTCATGAAGTAACGATCTACTGTGAAATCAATTTATACCCAGACTATGAAAAATCCAGACACCAATCTCGCAATTTCCTTTGCATCATTTCTTCTATGCTACATCAACCTCCTCTAGCATGATTGGCTTAGAGGACAGATTGCTGCTTGCTGCTTCACATGATAATGTCATTTATAAGTGTTTACATTTAAGATTAAAACAAGAAAAAAAAAAAAGCTGTTTTCTGATTGCCTGCATTTTTGGGCTGCTATAATTTGCTCTGTATGTGTCTACTGCACTATTTGTTTCTCACCATTTTTACACACACATAAGACACACACACACAAACATATGCACAAGCACACTGTATTTATACATTTTTTATGTATATATATATATATTTAGATACTCAAATGTACACCTAAGCACATATATAGACATACCTGCATGTATAAATATGGCTTGGTCTAGGTTGAATCCCATACTGATCTTTTGCTCTGGATTTATGCATCATTTCAGTTGCACTTAAGTTTATGAAAGCAAAGATGCAGACTAGCGTGATTTTTTTTTTTTTTGAGAACTGTATCGTCAGTATTGGTGAGAGCATCTTTTCAATAATGTGTGTGCTCTGACAGTCTGTGCACTAAAACTTGAATAATACAGAGAAGATTGACATAGCTCCTGGGAGTGGATACTATGCACCTTCTGAAATACAGTTTCTAACGCACGAAGTGTATCTGAAGAATCCGTTTATAGCAGGTCTGTTCTGTGTGGTTGCTAAATAAACTGTAGAGAGGACAATGTGGGAAAAGACAGTATGAAACTAAAACCTAGTATGAACAAGAAGGGAAACATTCAGGTATTTCTACATCATCTGCATTACCGTTGACGTTTTCAATGTCACTTCCATCTCTGTGGCCTATTTTTCTTTTCCTGTATTTGACAGTTTTGCCTTCTCATGTAAGCTGTATTTTAACTCACTCTTCACCTTCTACTTCATGAAGAACCCTTTGTTATATGAGTTTTTTGTGGGATGCCCAAAATGAGGGCCTCTCATACATGAGGGGATGCATTTTCATTGTAGCGGACTAAATGGGCAGTGTTCATTGCCACCCATCCTCCTTGATTTATTTCTATTCCAAAAAGATCTTGCTGAGATGAGCCACTCAGATAGTGTGCTATTTCAAGAAGGCTTAGAAATTCTCTGTGAAATATTCTTCTAGTGTTTAATTTTAGAGGATCTTTACCTGCAGAAAACATGCAAAGAAATTTGCATGCAGCATCAGCCTTCTCGGCTGCATCAACAGTGCTGCAGCAGCAGCTTTTCCTTAGTTCTCTGCCATTCCACTTGCATCTGGCTGCTGATTTGAAATATGAAAAGCCCACAGTTTTCTTCTGTTGTTCACAGACAGCTTAGGTATCCTCACTCCATAATTAAAATATATGAACAACCACATGTCAAATGGAAGGACTAGGGGCAGGAGCTGGAGGGCTCGGGACCATGAGTGTGTGCCCAGACACACGGTAGCCTACAAGTCCTCTGTGCTCCACATGCCTCTAATCAGCTGTACTGCTCCTTTCTGAGACAACTCTGGTGTAAAAAGATTATTTATTTTTAGATTTTGAAACCTATCCATCCCTTCCTGAGGTCATAAATTGTAATATAAGTATTATTTCCCACAAGGTGAGGATAAAAGGCTGAGAGACACATCTCCATCCATTTCTCAAAAACATTGCAAGTAATTCGTGGAATGTGAAGATTCAGAACCTCTATGTTTTACTGTAATTTTTAGTTGTTAGTTTACATACTCTGTCTTTGATAGGACTCCTGCCTTACTCATTGCTCAAGATGGAAACAAAGCAGGGCAGGATATTTCATGCAGAGTTGTGAACTTGATAGTCCCCTCTTTGCAATTTAAAACATATCTTACTATGGGTTTTCAGGCTTTCTTTTTAACCAATAATATTGCACACATAATGCTGAGTATTCTCTCATATTCAGAAATACAAAAGCGTAAAGAGTGCATATTATCGTAGAATTTATTAGTAAACTTCCTTGTTTTCCAGCTAGAGATCATCCCTGCTAGTAAATGAAATGATACAAGTAATGAAGTTTCTTCTAGTTTCTGAAGTTTCTGTAACAGACTACTCAGAACTTCAAAGCTAATGAAATATTTGGGACAAGGACAGAGAAAGAAAAAGGGATTTGAAAGACAGAAATTGTGCCAGTACAAAATGTATTTTGAATGAATATGGGCCAAAACATAAAAATTCTGTTCAGATCTGGGGTATATAGGTGTAATTGTAGTAAATATAAAGATACAAAAGTTCCTTATCTGATCAATGTTCTTTGTGGGATTTAATTAGGGCTACTGCTTATTTTAAGTACCTGAATTAACAGACCATTGATATTTTTTTGCATGGGTTGAAAAAAAAATATTTGTTACATAAATTTACCAACTATTTATTTTAAAAAATTTGAATAGCTCCAATTTATTTTTACATTTTTTCCCAAAGATACCAGTGCCTTCTAGGTTGCAGTGAATTTGGAAAGCTACATGCTTGCCAGTTAAAAAAAAAAACAAAGCAAAAAAAAATTTCACAGCAAATATTCCTCTA